TCGCTCTCCGTGAACTATCGTGATGGCACCTAGTCTCTACGACTAGGTAAGCCTAACAAATTACAGAAAAAGAAACAACAAAATAAAACTAGCCAAAAATTGCGGAATAACATAATGAAACATTTAAGATGCCGCTCGGATTTTACAATACAAGCTTCTCAAACTGAAACTACATTTCCCAAAACCTCGAATCTCATGAAATCACAAACTGTGGAATAATTACAGTGTTCTAACTTTAAAGTGTCTAAACAAAAGAAAAGTACCGAAGGGCTATAACTAAAAGAGAGTAGATAGGGACTTCTCGGTCTGCGAACGCGGCAGATATACCTCAAAGTCTCCAGAGATCGCCTCGCCTCGCTAACGATATGGCTGAGTCAATGTACCTGGATCTGCACACGAGAAAACATGTGCAGGAAAGGACATGAGTACACCACAGCGGTATCCAGTAAGTGCCAAGCCTAACCTCGGTCGGGTGTGACGAGGAAGGTCAGGGCCCTACCGATTATAAAATATAATGCAAAGTAAGACAGTGTAAGTTGAAACAGTATAATCAAAACAATATCAGAAAATGAGAAGAAATCATAGACAAATATACACTCAGTACACAGAAACATCTCCAAGGGATCTCCCTGGATCCCGTCCTGTAGTCTCAAACGTAAATACTTTGGGATCTCTCAGTATCCTCAATATGTGTGATAGGGATCTCTTGGTATCCTTAATATATGTACTGGCGATCTCTTGGTATCCCGAGGATCCCTTGGTATCCTCAATATATGTGCTGGGGATCTCTTGGTATCCAGCACTACAATCAAAATCAATACATGTGCAGAGGATCTCCCGGAATACTCGTCCGTAGTCCCAAAATAAAAACACAACAATATCAAGGAAAGAATCCACAATTTCATTCAAGTCCGTACCAAGAAACAGAGATTTCTATTCTAACATGCTGCACAGAGCTCACATAAGCAGTTTAAGCAGATAGGACAATTAATACACTTAAGCATGCTTCCCTAAACTACGCAGTAGGCTTAAAATACAAGTAATGTTCAAGAAGAAAGAAACACAGTTAATTTGCTTAATGAAAAATGGGTTTCCAACAATTAGCACGTGTACGCAATCGTCACTTCAACATGGCATTCATATAACAACAATACCAAATCCTAGGGGGATGTCCCCCACACAAGGTCAGACAAGCCACTTACCTCGAACCAGCTCTATCAAGTCTATACCACGTTCTTGCCACGAGTATCCGACTCCAAATGGCCCAAATCTATTCAAAGTAATTGCATAATGTAAATAACACTACAAGTAACTAATTCAACTAATTAATTCTAAGATAATACGCAAAATTAGGAAAAAATAACCAAAATCCCCCCCGGGCCCACGTCTCGAAATCGGGTAAAATTTACAAATTCAGAATCCTCATACTCTCACGAGTTCATTCATACCAAAATTATTACAATCCGACATAAAAATCTAGATCAAAACCCCAAAATTAGGCCTAAGAACTTTTCTCCACTTTTCCTCAATTTTTCATCCCAAATCCGAAATTAAATGACAAAACTAAGATTAGATTATAAGAATAAACTAGAAAGGGATTAGGAATCGTTACCCACTGATTTCCTCTTCAAAAACCTCCCAAAATCGTCCTCACCCGAGCTCCAAATCGATTTTCTAACTTTTGATTTCAAACCCTCGAAATATCTTATTTCTGCCCAGCAAATCCGCTTCTGCGGCCATGGGACCGCACCTGCGGTCCCGCTTCTGCAGAAAAAGAACCGCACCTTCGATAACTCATCAAATTACCATTTCCGCACCTGCGACCAGTGTACCGCATCTGCGGTTTCGCAGGTGCGTGCACACTTTCGCACCTGCGGCTTCTAGCTTACCCTCACCTGGCCGCATCTACGGTCTCCCAGAAGCTTCTGCGGCGCCGCACCTGCGGTCCCATTCACGCAGGTGCGGTTATGACAGGTTCAGCTAATATCAAATTTTCCTAAGTCCAATTCAACTTTTGTTAAGCACCCGAAACTCACCCGAGGCCCCCGGAACCTCAACCAAACAAGCCAACCAATCCTAAAACATCATACAAACTTGTTCCAACCTTCGGAATGCTCAAAACAACATCAAAACACCAATTTAACATCGGATTCAAGCCTAAGAACTTCAAAAATTCTCAAATTACGCTTTCGATCAAAAAGTCTATCAAACCTCGCCCGAATGACCTGAAATCTTGCAAGCACGTCACATTCAACACTATGGAGCTACTCCATCTTTCGGAATTCCATTCCGACCCCGAAATCAAAATCTCACTAACGAACCGGAAACTTCAAAAATTCAACTTTTGGCATTTCAAGCCTAAATAAGCTACGGACCTCTAAAATACAATCCGAACACGCTCCTAAACCCGAAATTACCCAACGGGCTAACGGAACCAATGGAATTCCATTCCGAGGCCATCTTCACACTGCTCCAACTACGGTCCAAATTGTAAAACTTAAGCTTTCTTTTAGGGACTTAGTGTCCCAAAACAATCCAAAATTCAAAACAAAACATCCCGGCAAATCAAAATAGCAGAAACCAACACGGGAAATGCAGTTAATAGGGGATCGGGGCATAAACTCTTAAAACGACCGGCCGGGTCGTTACAACGTATAAAGATCATTAGAATTCTAAGTATTTTTATGTAGTTTTCACCTTTTAATTCATATTTGGTACACTTAAATTATACAGTAAGTGTCTCAAATGACTGTTAAGGTTCAAACTAATACTCACATATGAATGAGAACTTCAATGGGCCCATTTCTTCAGTGAGTTGTTCAACATAGTGTGGGATAGCCACTTTTTAATATGGTATTTAGTTTTTATCCAGTATTTTTAATATTGAGCAAAAATTGCCATTACTCTATTAAAATTAATGCGAAAAGACATTTTTACCCTTTCTTCATGAGTGTTGTGTAAATATTAAGGACATGGTGTCCTTAAATATTTACACTGCACACATGAAGTTAAGGACGCCATGTCCTTAACATTTACACTGCACATATGAAGTTAAGGACTTGACAGAACACTTTTTCCTTAATATTTACACAGCATTCATGAAGTTAAGGACATCATATCCTTAATATTTACACAACACTCATAAAATTAAGGAGACTATGTCCGTAACATTTACACTGCATATATGAAGTTAAGGACATGAGGTCCTAAAGTTTAACAACAAAAGGTGCAAATACAAGTTAAGGATATTATGTCCTTAACATTTACACTACACACATGAGGTTAAGGACGCCATGTCCTTAACATTTACACTGCACATATGAAGTTAAGGACATGACAGGACACTTTGTCCTTGATATTTACACAGCATTCATGAAGTTAATGACACCATGTCCATAATATTTACACAGCACCCATGTCTAGCACATGGGTATATTCGTCTGGGCGGATAAAATTTATTAAGCGCTGGCTAAAGAGTAAATACATTTTAAACAGTGGCTAAAGAGTAAAGACATCTCTAATTAGTGGCTAACTGTGTACTTCCCCCTATAAATGGCTAATATGCTTGCAAAATTATAGGAACGTGTAAAGCAAAGACTCAAATGAGACCCACTTCATCAAGGGACAATTTGGTCAAGCCACTCAAAGATTTATATGGCAGCTACGGTAATCTACCTTTTCGGCCAATGATATTGCTCCATTAAAAATGAATTTAGCAAAACGCCCTTGAGGTGCCAAGCACGCATGTTGACCTCCTATGTGCTTATTCCCTCTTAGAATAATACTAGTGAGAGTAGCCCCGGCAAAAGCCCGGGCCCAACATGAACAAAGCTATACTATTGTAACAAAGGATATAGTGACGATATCTCCAAGGAATGAGCTTGTGTAGAGAAATGGAACACTACTAAACTATCACATCTAATAAGAGAGAAACAGTTTTTTTTATGTAAAATACTAACTATGCTATAAAATATATTGTTTTGTGTACAACATTTATCAAAGACGAAAAAGTGAAGATTCCTTTATAGAGTACTTCTGTGACTGCAAGAAGCAAGAAACAATAACTACATAATATTCTTTGTAGTAATAGCTTTGAGTAGTATGAACCAGACTCCATGACTTTGGCTGCCAGCAAATTTGAGAAATCACCATCAACTGAGAAAGCATTGAAAAACTGATGTAAGCCTGCTAAATGATATGCTCCCGAGTCCTAGATCATGGCATAGCATATTGCAGCAATTGTGAAAATACCTAATTTATACCTTAGAGTAAAAAATAGCTTTCTAGTCATCAATTTGATGTATAAAATTCTTGTGATCACTTCAATTCCTGCATCTTGAAATCTAGTGTGTTTTTGGCATATAGGTTCCAACATATTTTTTGAAAACTTTAGGTACCTTCTGAAACCTATATGCCAAAATTTACTATTTGGCTAAAATAGGCGTATTTCAGAAAATTATACAGATATACTTGCTAAGATGGAGGAGAAGTGATTTAGCGTATTAGATAATTTGATGGATTTTTATATCAAGTTGAGGTATCAATAACCTTGGCAAAACTAATACATTTAGCTAAAATTACGATAGTACCCTAATGAAGAACCAGAGATTCATGTCACAGAACAATGTTATTCCAATGTCATCAAATGAAATTAGCATGATTTTTGAAATTTCATCATTCTCCAACATAGTAAAAAAGTACACGGAGCCACGAAAAAGAGTTAAAAGACAACAAATTCAATGCTCAGTAAACAACATCACTAATGTAATTCGGTTAAGCTTGCTTTAACAAAACCAAGTAGGCTATGTAAAGGTTAGCACATAGCCAAGCAGACTATGTCTTTGGTTTCATTCCTTATGTTCTGATGTAAGGTTATGAGAACATAAAAGTTATATCAGGTATAGCATGCATACCCATCTCGGTTGGCAAAACCATTATGTCAGTTATATCTATGGTAAATACAACAACACCCAGCAAGTTATTTACCTTTTTCCCATGCGGCTGAAGGAAGCAGTTAAATTGCAGGTCTGCACCTCTACTCGGTATCAGCTGTGGTTATAGATGGAAGTATAGGCTATTTGTGAGATTAATCTTAAATGCTTAAATAAAAACTAATTAATCTAAAGCTTCAACGAATCTTTGCAAACTAAATAACTCTACCAATATAAACTTCGTCGAATATATGTACGAAAAGGAAAAAATCATTTAAAAAAAGTTCAGCGGTGAAACATGTACTACCCATGTTTTGCCAGAAAGTTCAGAAGAAAACTATCTTACTACTATAGTGAGCACTTCCAGTGCTGTAATCCCAAATGACAGGTAAAGCATCCTAATTACACGATGATGATGGAAAAAAAATCCACATCAGACTCCAGGAAGAACTAATTATTAGCTAAAGTATGTCAAATGATTTTCAAGAAATGGTCTGTTCCAAGCTACTCTTACCTTCAAGGCCACTTGGGTGATATTGGATCTAGCCAAATTTTTTCTTAATTTTGTCAATTCATCCAGAATCTGCAGCTTGACTGTTCTCCTAATAATGCATTGTCAATGTGCCATGAAATCTCCATAAGTTGTGATTCATGGTGCATTCTGCCTTAAAAATTAAATACACTTCTGCGAGCTAAATACTTATGATGAAAACTTGAGGATGAAAAGAGTAACAGTTTTGTTGCCATGACAGCATCAACCTGCAAATATAAATTATAAGGTTCCAAAGCCAATTTGAGAGATCAAAACCAGTATGAAACATACTTAATCTTTAAAAATTTAACACATGTAATAGTTAAATCACTTTGAGTTCTTTCATAAGAAGTTTCGACAAAAAGATAACAACATATTTAGGTGTCTCAAGGTGTTTCCTGTGATAACATGCCCTTTTAAATAGCATACTTACTCTTATACTACAATTATATAAAAAAAATCATTACAATACATTACCTACTTATGCATATAACAGACTTTCTATCATTTAACAGCTTAGGTATCTTCTAGCTGCAGCACAATTCTTTTTGGTGTATATACTAATCAAACTTTTTCTTTTATTAAATGAAAACAAACTAAAATGACGTATAGTCTAAAACCAAACATCATTTTGAAAGACAGACAAATATCACGGCAGAATGTTCCCCTTGGCATTAAGAATCAAAAGTACACATGATCAAAGAAATATAACACGTTAACCATCATTTTTGGTATAAGACACTAAATGAAACTTCCTTTTTACTCTTCTGTTTCTTCACTGCACATTTTAAAATTAATTCAAATACCAAAAAGTAACTTTTATCTAATAGCATTGAAGCCATAGCCAAGAAAGGTGGGAAGTTTAGAGATATGGTGAAGTCTCTCTCCAATAAGTCTTCTGTTTGTAGGCAAATTGAACTTTGGATGCTTGTACAAAAAAATAAAAAAAAAATAAACTTTGGATGCCAATTGAATAGAAAATCTATAAATCTGTTGGAACCAAATTTTGTGCAGAAAGGCCTTCTTAGTTCTTCCAAGTCTGTAGGGGCAAAAACGAACAATGATAAAAATTGGATAATTATTACTTCAACTACTAACACATTAAATATCCATATTTCACAACAACATTTAGTTGATAGCCCTGTGTCAAGTTTCAAAATGACCTGAGCAATCAAGTGAGGCCATAAGGATTAAACAGAACTTACAGTCTGCAACTTTTATGGCCGTTATGAAGTTCGGATATTCTTATTTATATACAATTGATCAGAAGAAATGACAGCAAAAGCTGTTTTGGTAAATTTAGACCACACATTTAAATCAGTTAAAGTTGTGAGCTAACATTTATTGAAACAGCATAATAAGAAAAATTAGGTAGTTTCTTTCAGGCAATTTCTCAAACACTTCTAGTGCAAACCCAAATGCAGTTTGTATAATAACAGACTCAAATCCATTCTTACTGCACTTTGATAGAGGTCAAACAGATGAAAATTAAGACTAAACTCGAAAAAGAGCAAGTTGAAGACGCACAAAAGCGAGCGCAACAACATATCACCAATTAGCTTAAAATTTTAGACAAAAGTACTCAAAATCTTCTATCCAAGTTCAAAATATGAGAAGGGAACATTGTTTAGACTGAAAACAAACTAAATCTTAAATCTAAATTGCGTTGATAGTCAGACCTTTATTGTATATGCGCTAGATCGAAAAAAGGTAGTCCACATATGTGCAAGTGGTAAACTGAACTCGGAGATGTCAAAATTTCCCAACGGAGCAGCAGTGGTAATGATGAGAGTAAGCAGAGAGTAGTATAGCGACATAAATTTTATGTTGTAGTAACCACGTGTCAAACATAGAAGAAAGCGGTAATACGTGTCTATCAGGACTAATGTATGCAATTATGATAATACCCTCCTGACCCATTTTACAACCGGATGCAGCTAACTTAAGATCTGTCAAACTGTGCTCCACGTGTTAGGCTGTAATGCAATTACATTTTTATCCTTGGGCCAGGTAGACATGTTGACCATGAGCTGCCTGGTTATTCACATTTATAGTATAGGAAAAAGTTAGAAAATATAATTTAACCATACCAATTGAAAAGAAAAAAGTAAAATAAAAATACATATCACCTAAACATATTTAAGTAAACAGACTTGGTGTATACGTATCAGAAATAAATAAGTTTATATCATATTTAATCTATAAACAATAATTATTATACCAGATAAGGGCAAATGTGGATCCAGTAACCTAAAAAGATATCATCGCTTTTGATATAGGCAACCGCAAAGGGATAAATATGTCCAAAACTTCATGGGGAATTCAACGTGAGCACATGTTTTTTACCACAAACCGACAAAGGAAAGCAAAACAAAAAACTCATGTCCCTCGTCTTATAAAACAACGGTGGTGGTGCATGTATTAATAAAAGTTGTCGAGGGAGGTGCATGTATGTACTAAAACCAAGATCCAAACTGCTCTGCACCGCTAACCGAATGACGCTGCAATATTTGCTTATTTGGACAGAGCCATAGACCTAACACCTATTTATAATGAGGTAATAATTTGACGAATTATATTGTCCACTTAATCTTTGCTTTATCGCCCTGAAATTGTTAAATTATATTTCGTAAAATAAAAAAAGACATTCAACTTTATCAAAGTATCAAAAAAAGGCGTTCATCTTTATGGTTTGTGTGATGAGGTCATCCTTCGGAGCCAGAATTTCAATCTTATGATTCGAAATTTTAATAGCCTTAAAGTTATTAAGTTTTAAATTAATAATTTATAATTATTCAATGAATTTTTTAAGATAGATACAAATTTCGAACCAAAATTATTGAATTTGAGCGAACCCGCTCTCCATACTCCTTCCACTCTAGGAAATGCCTGATAAAATAGACTCCAAACGTTCTTGAAGTTTACACAATAACTGATACAAAAAGCTTGGCTTCCTATAGAAACTACCGCAGATTTTGGCCTCAAAAGAAAAACAAACTCGCGTAGCTAATTAGTGTCTAAAAATCATAAAATCAGTGATTAACTACCAGCCATTTGAAGCTTCATTCGGCTGCCTCTGAGCTTCTCTTTGCATTCCCATCATCCTCAGCCTTAACTGAAGCTGAGCTGCAGCTGTTAAAAACCTCAGACTTTGCAAAGGACTAAGTACTCCTACCACTCTTTCAGCTGTTCTTGTCCTCAATCTATCAGCATCTGTCACTAAATTTTCCATGGCTGACTTCAATGTCTCTATATTATCATCCCCGTCTATGATATCAATATTTGTACCATCAGTGTGTAGAAGTTGCATTCCTACTCGCCGTGCCATTTCCATCAACGGTGGTGCCGCCACGCTCTCTTGAATTTTCGCCAACTCATCCGCCAGGGACTTTTCTTGGACCTGTTGATGATATAATTAAATAATTAAAAGTATGCTGCATTTGAGTGCTTAAACTTTTAAATGACAGATCACATAATTCACATAGTATATTAAATCTTACTTGTCATTCACTATCAAAAAAAAAAAAAAATTCTTTGCACTCCGGCCCAAATAATAAATAAAGTCAAACTCGCACGTGAGCCATGTTTAGACATAGTTAAATAATTAAAAATAGAGTTCAACTAATATTCACGGATGGTATAAAAAAAAGTTACACTACCAAATCATAATATTTTATAGTAAGTAATCTATATTATTTTTCAATATCGCAAATAAAACTTCTTATGAAAACTTATTTATAGATATCTTTTAAGTAACCTAATAGTATTCTTATAACATAAGTGTATATAGGTTAAACTCCAAAAAAAAAAAAAAAAAAAAAAAAGGGTATATCCAACCGCTAAAAAATTAGGGCGCTTTTCACTTTAGCCAGGGCCAAAAAGTATTTACGTATAAAATTTATATATATATAAATTTTATATATATATCAGCGATTATTTTAAGAGTGGCAATACAATCTTATTTTCCCTAAGATTTTTAAAAGAGATGAACAAACCTTGGTCTCGTATCTCAGCCTGTTGATTCTCTGGACTTGATTTTCACTCAAATCATTAACCGAATCAGTAACCAGAGTAAAAGCTAACCCAGGTTTGAACCCAGTAATCCAAAGGAAAGTCCTCTCAAGTGGAGTAAACCAAGTAGGTGAGAAGACATGAAAAACATTTCTATGAGACATTTTTGATTTTTCTTCATAGTATTCTTGATAATGAGCTAAAACTCGTGAAATAAGATCTCTAATAACACCCTCTTGTGTTTCTTCATCAAAAGTGTCCTGTGCTACAAGTAATTCATCTAAAAATTGTTCATGCCTAATTAGCCAACCTTCTAAAAAAAAAACAAATGAATTATCATCATAATTTCTTGTATATGACCCAGCTGCCATCTTTGATTAGTTCCTTTTTAGTACAAAGGCAAGAGCAAGAGAAGAATAAAAGGAACGGGATGAAGAAATAGAGAAAGATTGTGCATGTATTTATATACTCATTAAAAAGAGGGGCTGTGATTATGGAAATTTCCCCTTTTTTTCTTAAGAAAAAATTATTGTTCTCTTTTTGTCAGAGTTTTCCTTTTGTTTGGGGGGGGGGGGGGGGGGGGGGGGGGGGGGGGAGGGAGGGAAGTATTCTATGAATGCTTCAAGACTAAGGTTATATTAATTAAAACATGGAACTAAACAGAGGTTATTAGAGAGGAAATAGGAGGATAAAATGCCACTTGGCTTCATTACAAATCATGTTTTTAATTGAAGTAATGAAATATAGAGCCAATGATATGTTTACACACAAAGTGAGACGAAGTGTGAGAAAAGTACATTTGTGAGGCGAATGGGAGGGGCAGTGTGTGTAAGTCGGTGGTTTTTGTCTTATAGTAAGAAGAAAGCAAGAGGTGTTGCATTTCAAACGAAGAGCTTATTTTTTTAGTGTGTAGCCAAAGAGGATCGACGAGGGTTCTTGTCACGACGACGTGGATCAATATTAAGCGCCCCAACTGTCATTTCCACTTGTCCTTGTCTATGTGCCCGTTTGAATTGACTTATTTTAAGTGTTTTTAAGCCAAAATAACTTTTAAGCCATTTTGTAGTGTTTGGATAGAGTAAAAAAAGTGCTTTTAAGCCACTTAATTTTAAGCTACAAATGACAAAAAACAAGCCAAAAGGCCAAAAGCTAGAATTCCTAACTTATGGCTTAAAAGCTATTTTGGCTTAAAAGCCACTTAAATTAAGCCCATCAAAACGGGCTCTATAGCTTTTCTCAACTTAGCTTATCCTGCATGTGTGAGCGAAATTCCAAATCTATCTATATTATATTAAAAGGAGAGTAGTATGCATTGTGGTTAAGCCAAGTAGCAAGCTAAAATGAAGCCACTTGGCAATTTTAGGACAACATTAATAATTAGAAATTATAAATGAAAACATAATTAATGGAAGTAGATTAATGAATCTTATACATAATCTAAATAGAACTTAGACAAATTTAATCTATATATTTATATTTATATTTATATTTATATTTATATTTATATGTATATTTGTATCTATATATTGATCCACTCATAGATTTTCTTCTATATTAGCTAGAAATATGGAGGAAAAAAATTAATTCAAAAAACTATAATAGAAAAAAATAAAAAATATAGATATACATAAATTGAGATAACCTATTACTATTTATATTTTGGAGTAAGTTAAAATATAAAACAAAACTAAAATTTACTTATGATATTAATTGAGTTTAAAAATTTAATAATTCAAGCAGCAAAATAAGATCTTATATAAAGTATACAAAATATTTTTTAAGAAAAACAATTAAAGAATCAGTAAAAAATATTTTAATAACAAGAATAATAAAGTCATATTAATATTGATAAATCACGTAAACAAATATTTTATACGTAAATATTACTACAATTAGATATAATGTGTTCAAACAATTAAGAAAATATTTTTGTATGATTAATATTTGAATTGAGTGCAGTTAGTTTAAGTTTAAAACCATAACATAAATTTTTAAAAATGCGGTCCAATTTAGAAAATAGAATGATAAAAAATATTTGAATTTGAGATGAGAAAGTTTTTTAATTTTTATCTATATTATATTAGAATGAGTGTGATAGAAATAAAAATCCACATGACAATGTAATAATATTAGCAATTGAATAATATAATATCAAAAATAAAGATTAAATAGAGAAAAACTAAATATTCAGCTTTTTTTATCATAGAGAAAAAGGGTAAAACTAATTTATTTGAGATAAGAAAGTCTTTTATATTGTGATAAGAAAATCATAATATGGGTAAGTCCACGTAACTCAAATCTAATATACAAAATAAAAAACTAAAAATATTGAATAATAAAAATAAATTAGAGATTATGTGAGGATATTTATAAATCATAAGTTTAGAAAATAAAATAAATTAAATATACAATATTTACTTATATTATTAAAATTTAAATAATTTGAAATTATCAAGAAATATTTTTAAATCAAAATATATATTTATTTTGAGATTAAAAACTATATATTGATCTGTATTATATTAAAGAATAGTAGTTGATAATGATATTAAATAAAGTTACAAGTTAATGAAAAGCCATATAAAATGTAATAACTATATATCAGATTAAAAAATAGCAAAATTACGTGAAATTATTAAAAATTTACTATTCGAAATGAAATCTTAAAACTATGATGAGAATGCTCAAACTATGGATAATACCACAAAATTGAAGTCTTATTTATGAAAAATAAAATATAAAAAATAAAAAATAAATTTCTATATAGGTAATTGTACTAATAAAAATTAAAAATTAAATTTGTATCTTAAAACTATAAAAGAAAGAAAATTTACATAAAGAAATAATATGAGAGTGAAAATATTGCTACAACATTCAGATATAATGTGTTCAAAATAATTAAGAAATATTTTTTTATTATTAAAATAAAATTTTAAAATAACAAATAGGTAATTTTACTAATTAAAAGTTAAAAATTAAATTTGCATCTTAATGCTAAAAGCGAAAGAAAATTTAACTGCATCTAATACAAAAATAATTATAAGAGAACTCAATACATTTGGAACATAATAATCAAATAACTTAATTCAAAGTTACAATTTAAAATAAAATATGATATTATTTTGGTTATAGGCGAAACATTAATATAAAACTAATTAAAATATTATAGTAGGGAAGAGAATGTATAAAAAAAATAGAGGTAGTGTAAGGGTACTTATTGTAACGACCCGACCGGTCGTTTTGAGCTTTAGCGCATCGTTCAGCAGTTTGAGGCCATGAGTAGCTTCATTTCAGATATTACAACTTGCCCGCATGGTCGGAATTGAATTTCGGGAAGTTCGGAGTTGATTCGGAAAGAGAATTCTCATTTCGGAAGCTTTAAGTTGAAAGAATTAACTAAGATTGGATTTCAGAGTAAACGACCTCGGAATTGGGATCTGAAGGTTCCAGTAGGTTCGTATGATGATTTCGGACTTGGGCGTATGCCCGGATCGGGTTTTGGATGACCCGGGAGAGTTTTGGCCCCTATAGTGGAAGTTAGCATTTTGGAAGAAATTTCATAAGTTTGGGTTGAAGTGCATTTCAGTATTATCGATGTCCGTTTGGGATTCCGAGCCTGGGAGTAGCTCTATGGTGATTATGGAGTTGGGAGCGCGATCGGAAGTGAATTCGGGTGTCCGTGGGTCATTTTGGAGTCATTTGGCTAAAGATAGAAATTTGAAGCTTTTTGAGAAGTTTGACCGAAAGTGGACTTTTTGATATCGGGGTCAGAATCCGATTCCGAAAGTTGGAGTAGGACAGTGATGTCAAATATGACTTGTGTGCAAAATTTGGGGTCAATTGGACGTGATTTGATAGGTTTAGACATCGAAAGTAGAACTTTGAAATTCTAAAGTTCATAAAGCTTGGATTGGAGGTCGATTCGTGGTTTTAGCGTTGTTTGATATGATTTGAGGCCTCGAGCAAGTCCGTAATGTGTTTTGGGACTGGTTGGTATGATTGGTTGGGGACTCGGGGGCCTCGGGTGAATTCCGGGTGGTTAACGGATCAAAAATGAAATTTTTGAAAGGCTGAAGTTGCTGGTTGCTGGTATAACCGCACCTGCGAGACTTGGGCCGCAGGTGCGGAGCCGCAGAAGCGGCCAGAGGAGCTGCAGATGCGGTTTTGGACCAGAAGTGAAGGGACTGCAGATGCGGTCATGCAGCCGCAGAAGCGGGACCGCACCTGCGGCGGTCGAATCGCAGAAGCGGGACCGCACCTGCGGCGGTCGAGTCGCAGAAGTGGAAAAGAGGGGCTGGTGAGAAACCGCAGGAGCGGTAGAAGGGCCGCACCTGCGGAACCGCAGAAGCGGTCAAGGGACCGCAGGTGCGGAAGTGCTGGAAGCAATAAGTTCTTTTAAAATCGGGGGTTGGTCATTTTTCTCCCATTTTTCATTGGGTGTGGACGATTTTGGAGAGCTTCAAGTGGGGTCTATCATCATCAACGACAAGGTAAGCTAATCCCACCTATCTTGAGTTAAATATATCGATTATGTATGGATTTTAGCATGTAAATTGGTAGAAATTTGGGGGTTTGAGGAAAACCTAGAAAATTGATATTCTTAGAATTTGACCACGATTTTGGGTATGAAATTGAGAGTAAATTATATATTTGAGTTCGTGGAGTTATGGGTAAGCTTATATTTCAGAAAACAAACAAGAAATAAGCAGTTAAAAGGGAGGGGGTACATGCCTCGGGGAAACAGTTCAACTTAGCAGAAACTAAACAAATGTGAAGGAACAGTACAGTATCTAAAACAATATAATAACACTACTGTTGCGGCGCGCAACCCGATCCATAGGTGTGTATATATATATATAACTGTTGCGGCGTGCAACCCGATCCAATAAATATAATATATCTGTTGCGGCGTGCAACACGATCCAATAATATATATATGTTGCGGCGTGCAACCCGATCCAATATAATATATGTTGCGGCGTGCAACCCGATCCAATAATATATATGTTGCGGCGTGCAACCCGATCCATATATGTATACATAAATAAAAATATTGCGGCGCGCAACCCGTTCCAAATTTACAGCTCACAGTAATCATGACAAAAATTCCGGCAAGGGATTAACCATAAAATACTCTATCCCGGCAAGGGAACTCAACAGTACAAGTATATTCGTCCCGGCAAGGGAGAACCAGCTATAACAAATCTCAATTCAACTCCTAATCATCTCCATTATCACCATTTCCAACTCATAAATAGCTTCTACGAAAATAAGCTAATCCTTTACTCAATACCACGGATCTACTCACTATTGCAACCATAGTATTATTCAAGAATACAACAAACATCAATTTAAGACTCACGGTCATGCTCGACACCGACGTATAGATACTCGTCACCATGCCTATACGTCGTACTCCACAAGAAACACATAGCAAATATGACTCAACTCCTAATCCCTCAAGCTAAGGTTAGACCAAATACTTACCTCGATGCCTTGAACACAACTCAAGCCTCAATTATAGCTTTACCCCTTGATTCTACCGCCAA